TCCTTTTCTCCCTCTGTTGGAAGCAATACTGCACTACTTTCACCACAGGAATTTCAGGGTAGCACTATCCCACTCACTTCCTCTCACCCTCCTTTTGGAGACCAGTTAGCACCATATGTGCATTCTTGGCAACAGATTACATCAGATTTTGGGGTTTTAGATATAGTCAAGCATGGCTACGACATAGATTTCATTTCCCTTCTACCTTTAGGAACCCTACGGCCTACCCCTCTATCCTCTGCCCTTTGGCAGGAGGTACTCACTTTACTCCAAAAGGGTGCAGTTTGTACCCTTGGACCCTTCCATATGTTCTCTTTCATTTTTCTCTAAATATTTTCTAGTTCCCAAAAAGGATGGTGGTTTATGACCCTTTTTGGACCTGAGAAAACTCAATAAATATGTTCATTGTCTTCTATTCTGTTATTTTCTGAGGGTGCGTAGGTCACGGCCATTGATTTAAAAGATGCTTATTTTCACGTTTCAATTTGGCCCACCTTACATAGATTTCTTTCTTTTCTCATAGCTGGGCAGGCTTTGCTTTTGCGTCTTGCCTTTTGTCATATCCTCAGCACCTTGGGTATTTACTAAGGTCATGCCCTTAGTGGTGGTTTTGCTTTATATTGATGACTGGCTTCTTCTGGCATGCTCTAAGGATCAGTTGTGTCATCACATTTCTTTTACTTTATCTCTTTTCCAGGAGATAAAGGATTTGGGACTTATCATAATTCTTGACGAGTTCCATCTGCAGCCCACTCAGGTCATTTGTTTTATTAGAGCCATGTTAAGATTCCCGACAGGGCTGAGCCTACCTTCTGAAAGACAGGTTTCTTGCCCTCCAGTTGGCAGCACAATGAGTCATCCAGAAGCCGTACATAGGAGCCAGAGAGATCCAGCAGCTACTTGGTCATACAGCCATCACACATCATGCACTGCTAAGGCTCTGGCCACTACAACGCTGGTTTCTCCAAGCATTCCACCCTCTCTGAGACAACCCCAACTGTCTCTTGGTGGTCCCCATTACAGTGTGTCAATCCCTGAGGTGGTGGACTTCCCAAACCAACACCTGTGTGGGGGTCCCATTCCAGTCATTAACACCTTCGTTAATTCTCACCATGGATGCATCACTACTGGGTTGGGGAGCGCACCCGGGCAGCCTTTCTGACCATGGTACCTGGAACTCTTCTGATGCCCAAAGGCATATCAGCTGGAACTCTTGGCAGTCCAGAAGACGCTTCTTTCCTTTGAGCCCAACGTAAAGGGTTGAGTTGTTCACATTGTAACCGACAATACCACTGCAGTGTTCTGCCTGAACAAGCAGGGCGGCACTTGTTCCGGGTCGCTTCTGATGTTAACACTCAATATCTGAGACTGGTGCATCGCCAGGGGCATTTACCTAGTAGCCATCCATGTACCAGGTACTGACAACATCAGGGCCGACCAACTCAGTCGATCAGGTCGGTCTACCCACAAGTGGTCCCTCCATCCTCAAGAGACTGATGCTCTGTTTCACAGATGGGGAGTTCCGCAGATAGACTTGTTTGCATCCCTGCACAATGCAAAGTGCCAGTGGTACGGCGTGCATCTAACCCCTCAGTGTCACATGGGTTGCCTTGGAGATGCCTTCCTCCTTGATTGGACATGGACATTTTGTTACCTGTTCCCACCGCTACCACTATTCACCAGAGTCATATCCAGGATCCAGTCCACTGAGGTCGACTGCATCATTGTGACTCCGCGGTGGCCTCACAAGCCATGGTTTGCCACCTTCCCCCACCTAGCCAACGGGGATTTCATTCAGTTGCCACACAGACCAGATCTCCTTTCTTGCTAAGATGGACAGATCCTCCATCCTGAGATAACCATCTTTGTCTGACGACGTGGTGCATCTCACCTCTCACCTATCTCAGTCAATAAGGCATATCCTTGAACTGGCCCACAGGCCTTCCACGCAGCGATCTTACCAGTATAAGTGGGATTGCTTTTACACTTTTTCGTGTCAGCAGGGTTCAGACCCTCTCTTGGCACCTATCCATGGAGTTTTCTTCTCCATCTATTGGATGCTGTGCTTCTGCTAGCATCATTGAAGGTCTGTTTGGCAGCCATTTCATTCTACAGGAAAGGGTCAGGCCTTCCATCTGTATTTTCAATTCCACTGATCAAAATCTTCTTTTAGGGCTTTAAGAACTTCTGACCCCAGGCGACGCCAATAACTTCACCTTGGAAGCTAGAGCTCGTGCTTCCTGCTCTCACCAAACCATCATTTGAACCTCTAGCAACCAGTGATGTTACTCATCTCTCTTGAAAAACAGCTTTTCTTGTGGCCATCACCTCAGCTTGACATGCCAATGAGCTGGGTGCTCTCTGTGTGGTTGAGCCTTACTTAAAATTCCATAGGGACAAGTTTGTCCTTTGTGTGGACATTGCATTTCTTCCAAAGGTGGCCTCCTAATTTCATCTCCCTCAAGAGATAGTCCTCCCGGTGTTATGCCAGAACCCTTCTTCACCTGAAGAACAGTTCTTCCATCTGCTTGACGTCTGTTGGGCTTTAACTTTTTACATTGAAAGATCAGCTTCTTTCCAGGAAACAACTTGGCTATTTATACAATACCGCAAAGGTACAGCAGGACTCCTTCTTTCCACTTGGAGGCTATCGGGCTGGATTGTTGCAGTGATTCACCTAGCATACCAGCTAGCTGGTCAAGACTTCCATGTGAGAGCTTATTCCACTAGGGCAGTATCAACCCCCACAGCATTTCTAAGGGGCATTCCACTAGAAGACATCTGTTGGACGGCGATTTGGGCCACACCAGATACTTTTGTCACCCATTACAAATTGGATATTCAAGCCAAAAGAGACACAGCCTTTGGGAGACCTGTTTTGTTTTCAGCACTTGCATGACACCTTCCTCCACTGCAGTGGTTCTCAACCTGGGGTCCCCAGGTGTTTTTGGCCTTCAACTCCCAGAAATCCTAACAGCTGGTAAACTGGCTGGGATTTCTGGGAGTTGTAGGCCAAAAACATCAGGGGACCCCAGGTTGAGAACCACTGCTCCACTGAGGGCAGCTTGCTAGTCTACATCAGGTGCGTATTTCACAGACACTATGTAGAATGTGGTGAGGTTGCTTACCTGTAGCCAAGTTTCTTTGGGTGGTGATTGTGAAATTCGCACAACCCGCCCATCCTCCCCATTTTTGTCATGTTTTGGTTCCCAGTTGCTGCTTTGCGGCACTGGAACTGAGGCTCCAACCTGGGCTGCCACATTATATCCTGGGATGGTGGGCGGGGTTGGAGCCCCTTAATTGCAGAGTTTTACAAGAGAATCTGAATTAGCTGCGCCAGGCGCAGGAATCTACCTTAGGCGCGAAATTCACAGATCACCACTCGAAGAAACCTGGCTACAGGTAAGCAACCTCACTTTCTGAGCATGGGTTATTTTATGATAATTTTCCAGAATTTACCAGTTTGTGTTCATTCTCTTGTGCAACTCCCTGCCAAAGGAGGTCAGGCTGGCTCCATCCTTGTAGAACTGGGGAATCAAAACTCTGTTATTCCAAAAGATCTTTGATCTTTAAAGCATTTAAGAAAAAAAGACTTTTACATTATTTTAAATTCTTTTTTAATGAATATATGCTTAAAATGTTTATTTTTAAATGGTTTTAAATTTGTTTGTATTATAGTATTGGTTACTTCCCATTTGGACTATTGCAACACTTCCTATGTAGGACTGCCTTTGACAATAGTTCAGAAGCTGCAATTCGTTCAGAGATTGGCGGCCAGGTTACTAACCGGAGCTCTGTATCATGAGAGGACAGCTGTTATGTTGCAGCAGCTCCACTGGCTGCCGATCTGCTTCCGGGCTAAATACAAAGTGCTGGTCATTACCTATAAAGCCCTAAATGGTTCAGGCCAAGACTATTTGCAGAACCACATCTTCGTATACAAACTGGCTCAAGCGTTGCGATCTGCGGAGGAGGCTCTGCTCTTGGTCCAACCCTGCCCCAAGCATGGCTGGTGGGAACGAGAGAGGGGGCCTTCTCATGATCACTCCCTGCCTCTGGAACTCCCTACCAAAAGAACTAAAAACTGACCCCTCTCCTTGCCTTTAAAAAGTTGCTAAAACCCATTTATGCACTCCAGTGTATGGAGAGGAGGAAGACTAACATGCCTTTGACCTACATCCTCATCTAGATATGTTAAATCTTGTCTAGATACTGGAATTGATCTCAGCCTTTTGGTTTCTACAACTTACCTCATTTCCCTATAGGGTCTTAGTTATTAATATTTAGATGTTTTACCCAGTGATACATTTATTTTATGTGTTTATGTGTGTATGGGTCACTTAAGTTTATCTTCGGTTATTTTTGTTTGTTATTAAGTTTAGGCAGTTTATCTATTGTTTGGTGTGATTTGTTTTGATGTAATTTGTTTGTATGTCCGTGTCCCCCCCCCCCCCTTTCTGGCATTGAATGTTTGCCATATATACTGGAAACCACCCTGAGTCCCTTTGGGGAGATAGGCTTTCTACAAATATAGATTATTATTATTATTATTATTATTATTATTATTATTATTATTATTATTTCATTGTGCGAATGATCAGAAAAAGTCAATCAATACTCAATAAATACAGTTGAGGTCAGATTAACTTCACTCAACTGTAATATATGGCAGTGTAGACTAATATATGCAGATCATCTACATTCTGAAATTGCATTATATGGCAGTGTAGATCAACCCGCATTGCACTGGTTTAGTCTGAAGGGGAGAAAATTGGTGATCAATTTTGCCATTAACTTTGAAATGCAAGTCAAAATGTAGTTTTGTAAATTGAATCAGGTCTATTTCATGGTGACAACAAGACGGCTAATGATCAACTATAGACCTGTTGATTTCCTTAAGCTTACCATCATATATAAAATGACATTGTTATGTCAAGACTGAATTAAATCTTCTTATAATGAGTGCACTCACATGACAAAATACTTCTGATTTTTTATAGGGTACCCAAAATGAAGAAGCGACTGTTATTGTTGAAAATGACCATTATATGGAAGACTTCTTCCAAGAGGTAAAATGAATGCAACAGTTTGCCCCTTACAGCCCCAAAGATTGTATTATTTTAGGAATTGATGCACCTTTTTAGTCAACTGCTTAATATGTCCTTGTGATCACAATTTTCAGACAAATCCATCATAATTTCACTGGGGGCCCTTCTACACAGCCCTAAATCCCAGAATATCAAGGCAGAAAATCCCACATGATCTGAGTGTGGACTCTGATAACCTAGTTCAAAGCAGATATTGTGGGATTTTCTGCCTAGATATTCTGGGATATAGGGCTGTGTGGAAGGGCCCTGAGTTTGTAGTGTGTGGACATACCAGCAAAATCCATTCTTTTCCTTTCTTCAGAGAACTAGAATGTCTTACAACCTACTTAACTAACGTTAAATGGAGCACAAATGTGTACATGTAGCAGCACTGAGGCCTTAGAATATGTCTAGACAAGACTCTCAGCCTCCCAAACCGTGTGCCTAATGTACTTTTATGGTTAGAGTCTGATTAAATTTCTGTTGAGTCACAGATTTGGGTGTACAAATTAAACTTCTGGTTAAAAATGATTTCATACTTAAAGGTCAGCTCCTCCTGACCAATAGGGAGGTATTACAATCAAGATGGGGAAAAGTCAGCAGATCAGAGAATCTTAAACCTTAGATTCTCACAAAATGCCATCAAAACTATGGGCTACACGAAAGCCAAAGAAAATATTTGGCCACATATCTGGGAAATTGAGTTGTGTAACTACATCAACACAATGTGTTGTTGAAGACTTTCATGGCTGGAATCATTGGGTTGCTGTGAGTTTTCCGGGCTGTATGGCCATGTTCCAGAAGCATTCTCTCCTGACGTTTGGTCCACGTCTATGGCAGGCATCCTCAGAAGTTGTGAGGTCTGTTGGAAACTAGGCAAGTGAGGTTTAATATATCTGTGGAATGTCCAAAGTGGGAGAAAGATCTCTGGTCTGCATGAGGCAAGTGTGAATGTTGCAATTGGCCACCTTGATTAGCATTGAATGGGCTTGCAGCTTCAAAGCCTGCGTGATTCCTGCCTGGGGGAATCCTTTGTCTGGAGGTGTTAGCTGGCACTGATTGTTTCATTTCAGGAATTCCCCTGTTTTTAGAGTGTTTCTCTTTATTTACTGTCCTGATTTTAGAGGGTTTTAAAAAATCCTGGTACCCTGATTTTGTTCATTTTCATGGTTTCCTCCTTTTTGTTGAAATTGTCCACATGCTTGCAATTTCACTGAATGCAGAATTGCCCAAACACAAATTAAGGAACATGAAAGGCACTGCTAACTAATTCAATCAGACAAGTCAACCATAGCAGAGCACCTGATGAGCCAACCTGGACACAGCATATTAATTGAGAACACAGAAATGCTGGACCACTCTGACAACCACCATGTCTGACTACACAGAGAAGCCATTGAAATCCACAAGCATGTGGATAATTTCAACAGAAAGTAGGAAACAATGAAAATGAACAAAATCTGGCTACCAGTATTTTAAAAAAACCCTCTAGAATCAGAACAGTAAATAAAGAACAGCACTCAAAAATGTGAATTCCAGGTGAATGGCGCAGTGGGTTAAATCGCTGAGCTGCTGAACTTGCTGATTGAAAGGTCACAGCTTTGAATCCAGTGAACGGTGTGGTCTCCCACTGTGAGCCCCAGCTTCTAGCAACCTAGCAATTTGAAAACATGCAAATGTGAGTAGATCAATAGGTACCGCTCCAGCGGGAAGGTAATGGTGCTCCATGCAGTCATGCCAGCCACATGGCCTTGGAGGTGTATACGGACAACACTGGCTCTTTGGCTTAGAAATGGAGATGAGCACCAACCCCAGAGTCAGACACAACTGGACTTAATGTCAGGGGAAAGAAAACCGTTACCTTTACCTTACCTTGTCTAGTTTCTGACAGGCCCTCACAATCTGAGAATTCCTACTATAGATGTGGGTGAAATGTCAGGAGGGAATGCTTCTGGAACATGGCCAGACAGCCCAGAAAACTCACAGCAACCCACTACATCAACAAAGCTTCTTCCTACAGAGTACCTAAGTAATCTAAACATCCCAAAATACAGGGAAGTGTTTGCCTTGGCTAAACCCAGTGTGCTTCCTTCTGCAATCCTGGAGGGAAGATATAACAATGTACTATACTGTGAATGCCTATGTCCCTGTGAGGCTGAGGCAGTAGAAACTGTGGAATACATTTTATTGTTCTGCTCTTTCTATCGTGAACTTCAATGACACGTTATCAACCCAATTTTACAAAGTATATCAGGGAGACCTGAAAGGTTTTATGTTGACTACATTATGTAACAAAATTTGAAAAAAAAAATCTGTTCTTGGTTTGAAAATGTTATTATAAAGCTGTTATTCTACTCCAGAAACTTTGTTGTTTTTGTGGCTGCCCCAAACTATATCAAATTGGTTGAGACTTGATAAGATAATCATTGGAAAACTATAGCAAAATGCAGGGTGTCCCGCAAAAACAAGGTTTTCCCATGTTTCCCACTTTTCCCATGTTTTTATGATAGAACCAATTAGGAAATTACATTTATAACCCAGGATCAAAAATCACATTACATGGTGTTATCTTTTGCCTGATTGGTCTCCTGAAGCTACAACCAAAGTTGCTCATTTCTTTGCAGCGGCAATAGCTTGCACTGGTACAGGATGCTGTCACAGACTTAAAGGGCTCTATTATTTTATCTCAACTTTTATCACTATTATTAAAATATACACATTTTGATCCTGTTTTAACTTTCATACACCACATTGTGTCTTAACCCTGCTTGTAAAAACTGTGTTTTAATGCCTTTTACTGTTTGTTTTAATGCTGGTCATTGAACGAATACACATGCACACATTTAACTAATGATCAGATTGAGCTTGACCAAGCTGCGTGCTTCCAAGTTAGTGTTCGATTTTAGCTTAGACAAAGCTGCATAGAATGTTGTTATTCCCTTTGATTGGTCATCACCCCTTTCTAGCTGAAGGCATGAATGATCCAGGTATTACTTGTGGATCTAAGAGTGCATAATGCAGTGGATTGTTGAATTCAGAGCTCTTTCTATATCATCTTTCAGTCCTGTGTTACTTTTTTTTTTCTGTCTTGTCGACTGCCTACCCGCCACAAACGCCAAAGGTTGAGGAAATCCGAAAGTACATGACCAAAATAGCAGGTGTTGTGGAAGAAGTGAAGAAGAAACACAGCATTATCCTCTCTGCCACACATCCTAAAGACAGTAAGCTCTTCACTTTGGTGACTCTTAGCATGTATTGCTTCCCTTATTTGCTTGCTTCTATAATAGCCAGTAGTTCAGAGACACTTAGAAATTCTGCCAAAGTGGGGTGCTGTTGCTGGGTTGGAACACTTCCACTTTGGAATATCTCAATAAAACAATAACATTCCAATGCCTCAGAAAAAAGCACTCTAAAATAGTCTCACAGAGAAGGCCCATCCATCTTGTTACCAGTGATGAAGAGTTCATAATGAATGTTTGTCTTTTCATAGGGGCTTGGCTTAGACTAAAAACAGTGCCTGTGTCATCTCAAGGATGAAATATTTCCTTGTTTTGCTGGGGTGCTGGTGGTCTCCTTTGATGCCTGCTTGCTTCCATAGTACATCTTTTGATCCAGGGTCTAGATCAGTGATTCTCAACCTGGGGGTCGGAACCCCTAGGGGGGTCGTGAGGTGGGTCAAAGGGGTTGCCAAAGACAACCAGAAAACACAGGATTTTGACCTGCATAAATGGGAGCATAGTGTTTAGATCCAGGGAATTCATGCTACCCCTCTATTCTGCCTTGATCAGACCACACCAGGCATCACACTGTGTCCAATTCTGGGCACCACAATTGAAGGGAGAAGCTGAAATGTGTCCAGAGGAGGGCGACTCAAATGATCAAGCCCCATAAGGAGTGGCTTCAAGAGCTGGGCATGTTTAGCCTGCAGAAGAGAAGGCTGAGAGGAGACATGATGAGGGCCATATATTAAGATGTGAAGGGAAGTCATAGGGAGGAGGGAGCAAGCTTGTTTTCTTCTGTCCTAGAGACTAGGATGCGGAACAGTGGCTTCAAACTACAGGAAAGGGGATTTCCACCTGAACATTAGGAAGAACTTCCTAACTTAGAGAGAGAGCTGTTCAGCAGTGGGACACTCTGCTCCGGAGTGTGGTGGAGTCACCTTCTTTGGAGTCTTTTAAACAGAGACTGGATGGCCATCTGTTGGGGGTGCTTGGAATGCAGTTTTCCTGCTTCTTGGTCAGACCACACCAGGGTTCGACTGGATGGCCCACAAGGTCTCTTCCAACTATACAATTCTATGATTCTATGAATAATTGAACAAATTAAATCAAATTAAAGCACTTTAAATTATTATTATTTTGAGCATTTCTACCCCGCCCTTCTCAACTCCCGAGGGGGGACTCAGGGCGGCTTACAAAAGGCACAATTCGATGCCAGCAATACACATAGTAAGATAAAATACATAGCAACAACAATTATAAATTAATTAAAACAATCTAATTATACAATACAATTAATAAAAACCAAACTAGTGATCAATTAGTGATCAATATTTGTATTTTTCCCTATCCCCCCCAAGGAGACTCAGTTTGGATTCCAGCATATACAGACACAAGGCAAACATTCAATGCCAAGAAATGTTTACTTTAAATCTGTATATCCTGGAATCTGCCCTGAGTCCCCTTGGGGAGATAGCATGTACCTGTATAGTTTCGGATTATATCATTAGACGCCAATGGCTTTAATAATTATATATTTTGTTTAAAATCAGAAGTGAATTTTCAGCCACTCCCTGTTTTGCGTTGTTGTTGTTGTTTTGTTATTGTTATTTTGGCAGTTGGTCCCTGGCCCCTTTAGAGTTATCTGATCCTCATTTGTCCTAAATAACTGTATATTGTTCTTTTTTTCTTTTAAGAATTAAAGGAAGAACTTGAAGAACTGAACAAAGAAATCAGGAAAGCAGCAAATACCGTTCATTCGAAATTGAAAGGTAAGAATGACATAACTGAAGGTTATGAACAGAGGCTGGATGGCCATCTATTGGGGGTGCTTTGAATGTGATTTTCCTGCTTCTTGGCAGGGGGTTGAACTGGATGGCCCACAAGGCCTCTTTCAAACCTAGGATTCTGATTCTAAGGAGAAAATATTTTTGGGTGAAATTGTGTAACCAGTGGTCCTTTGCTCAATTCAGGGGAAGCTCTTTGCCTTTCCATCCCTCATCCCATTGAAATACATTATTGATAAGAAAATTTGTTTAAAAAGCAGAAGAAGCCATACATTGTAGAGTTGTATCTCCCAGATCCATAGCAACAGTAATGGGGAAAATGTCAATTCCATCACTTAACAACTAGATAAGTTAGGTTTCACTGGTTAATGATGTGTTACTAATGTGCTTCTCTGAACTGAATTATTTCGAAGTTCAGAGGAGCACTTTAGTAACACATCATTAAACAGTGAGATCTACCTTATTGAAGTAAAAGTGGTACATGCAAGAGAATGGTGTGTTGTGAAACGGCATTCCTGTTCAGAATGCCCGTTATGCCCTCTTGCAGGTTACTTTAGTCCAGGCCTGCATAACTTAGTAGTAAGGGGCTGAAATTAAATAGGTCAAACCTCTTTGAGCCGCAAATGGGTTTTTAGCATGTCACTTTCCAAGTAAGGGTATAATTAATGATTCATTAGGGTGGTTGTTATGTGCTTTCAGGTTGATTCCAATTTAGGATAACCCCCCTAAATCCCATTATGCATGCTTAATCTCCATTTAGCTCCTTTAGCATTTGTTTTTTCTTGGGGTGTGTATGTTTATATATATATGTATATTGCATACGTGTACACATTTCTGCAAACCTCGAGGTTCTCCTAAACCTGTTGGAACCCCCTTCTTATATGTGTATGGTGCTATTTTTGCTGTATAAGAATATGTACTCCAATGATTAATTCCCTGTTGGTTAATAGGACTTACCGTATAATCCGGGGTACAAGACGACTTTCTAAGCCAGGAAAATCATCTCAAAAGTGGGGAGTCGTCTTGTACCCCGGTATAATTTTTTTTGCATCATTTTTCCCTCGTCTCCCTCGCCCTTGGCGTCCCCGCGTGGTGGAGCCTGAGGAGGAGGGAGGGCGGAGGGGGGGAGGGGGGGAGGGGGGGCGAGGAGGAGGAGCGGCAGGCTTCGCTACCAAGCTGGCAGCATGGTAGCCTACTGGGCTGTTTTCACCCTCGCCGGCATTGACTTGGCTCCGCCTCCGGCCTCTAATCCCAGAACAGCTGCTGCAGGAGCCAAAGCCGGAGGGGCGGGGGCGGGGCCTCTGGCTGCTCCGCCCCACCCCCGCAGAGGGTCCTGCCCCCGGTCCCGCCCCCCTGCGGAGGCTTCAACTCCTGCTGCTTTACCAGGCCGGCGGGGGGTGCTTGCATGCTGTGCTGTCCCCTCCGCCACTGGTCTGCTGCTAGCTCCGCCTCTGGCCTCAAAGCCAGAGCAACTGCCGAGGGAACGAAACCCAGAGCAGGGAGGCAGTGGGAGAAGAGGACCCCGCCCCTCGCGGCCCCGCCCACGCTCCGGTTTTGGTTCCCTCGGCAATTGCTCTGAACTTGAGGCCAGAGGCGGAGGTAGCAGCAGACCAGTGGCGGAGGGGACAGCACAGCATGCAAACACCCACGCCGGCCTGGAAAAGCAGCAGGAGCTGAAGCCTCCGCAGGGGGGCGGGACCAGGGGGCGGGGCCCTCTGCGGGGGTGGGGCGGAGCAGCCAGAGGCCCCGCCCCTGCCCCTCTGGCTTTGGCTCCCTCCTGCAGCAGCTGCTCTGAGATGGAGGGCGGAGGCGGAGCCAAGTCAATGCCTGCGGGGATGAAGACAGCCCAGTAGGCTACCACTCTGCCTGCCGCTCCTCCTCCTAGCCCCCTCCCTCCCTCCCCCCTATGACTTCCTCTCACATATTTATACCCAGCTCTTTAAGCCACTCCTCATAGGCTTGGTCTCCAGACCCTTGATCTGCTCTCTCCTCCCTATGACTTCCTCTCACATATTTATACATGGCTCTCATCATGTCTCCTCTCAGCCTTCTCTTCTTCAGGCTAAACATGCCCAGCTCTTTAAGCCGCTCCTCATAGGGCTTGTTCTCCAGACCCTTGATCTTGCTCTCTCCTCCCTATGACTTCCTCTCAAATATTTATACATGGCTCTCATCATGTCTCCTCTCAGCCTTCTCTTTCAGGCTAAACATGCCCAGCTCTTTAAGCCACTCCTCATAGGGCTTGTTCTCCAGACCCTTGATCTTTTTTAGTCGTCCTACTCTGGACACATTTCATGGCCCTCATCATGTCTCCTCTCGGCCTTCTCTTCTTCAGGTGAAACATGCCCAGCTCTTTAAGCCACTCCTCATAGGGCTTGTTCTCCAGACCCTTGATCTGCTCTCTCCTCCCTATGACTTCCTCTCACATATTTATACATGGCTCTCATCATGTCTCCTCTCAGCCTTCTCTTCTTCAGGCTAAACATGCCCAGCTCTTTAAGCCACTCCTCATAGGGCTTGGTCTCCAGACCCTTGATCTGCTCTCTCCTCCCTATGACTTCCTCTCACATATTTATACATGGCTCTCATCATGTCTCCTCTCAGCCTTCTCTTCTTCAGGCTAAACATACCCAGCTCTTTAAGCCACTCCTCATAGGGCTTCTCCTCCAGACCCTTGATCTGCTCTCTCCTCCCTATGACTTCCTCTCACATATTTATACATGGCTCTCATCATGTCTCCTCTCAGCCTTCTCTTCTTCAGCTAAACATGCCCAGCTCTTTAAGCCACTCCTCATAGGGCTTGTTCTCCAGACCCTTGATCTGCTCTCTCCTCCCTATGACTTCCTCTCACATATTTATACATGGCTCTCATCATGTCTCCTCTCAGCCTTCTCTTCTTCAGGCTAAACATACCCAGCTCTTTAAGCCACTCCTCATAGGGCTTGTTCTCCAGACCCTTGATCTGCTCTCTCCTCCCTATGACTTCCTCTCACATATTTACATGGCTCTCATCATGTCTCCTCTCAGCCTTCTCTTCTTCAGACTAAACATACCCAGCTCTTTAAGCCACTCCTCATAGGGCTTGTTCTCCAGACCCTTGATCTGCTCTCTCCTCCCTATGACTTCCTCTCACATATTTATACATGGCTCTCATCATGTCTCCTCTCAGCCTTCTCTTCTTCAGGCTAAACATGCCCAGCTCTTTAAGCCGCTCCTCATAGGGCTTGTTCTCCAGACCCTTGATCTGCTCTCTCCTCCCTATGACTTCCTCTCACATATTTATACATGGCTCTCATCATGTCTCCTCTCAGCCTTCTCTTCTTCAGACTAAACATACCCAGCTCTTTAAGCCACTCCTCATATGGCTTGTTCTCCAGACCCTTGATCTGCTCTCCTCCCTATGACTTCCTCTCACATATTTATACATGGCTCTCATCATGTCTCCTCTCAGCCTTCTCTTCTTCAGGCTAAACATACCCAGCTCTTTAAGCCACTCCTCATAGGGCTTGTTCTCCAGACCCTTGATCTGTCTCCCTCCTATGACTTCCTCTCACATATTTAACATGGCTCTCATTGTCTCCTCTCAGCCTTCTCTTCAGGCTAAACATGCCCAGCCTTTAAGCCACTCCTCATAGGGCTTGTTCTCCAGGACCCTTGATCTGCTCTCTCCTCCCTATGACTTCCTTCTCACATATTTATACATGGCTCTCATCATGTATCCTCTCAGCCTTCTCTTTTCAGGCTAAACATGCCCAGCTCTTTAAGCCACTCCTCATAGGGCTTGATCTCCAGACCCTTGACTGCTCTCTCCTCCCTATGACTTCCTCTCACATATTTATACATGGCTCTCATCATGTCTCCTCTCAGCCTTCTCTTCTTCAGGCTAAACATACCCAGCTCTTTAAGCCACTCCTCATAGGGCTTGTTCTCCAGACCCTTGATCTGCTCTCTCCTCCCTATGACTTCCTCTCACATATTTATACATGGCTCTCATCATGTCTCCTCTCAGCCTTCTCTTCTTCAGACTAAACATGCCCAGCTCTTTAAGCCGCTCCTCATAGGACTTGTTCTCTAGACCCTTGATCTGCTCTCTCCTCCCTATGACTTCTTCTCACATATTTATACATGGCTCTCATCATGTCTCCTCTCAGCCTTCTCTTCTTCAAACTAAACATACCCAGCTCTTTAAGCCACTCCTCATAGGGCTTGTTCTCCAGACCCTTGATCTGCTCTCTCCTCCCTATGACTTCCTCTCACATATTTATACATGGCTCTCATCATGTCTCCTCTCAGCCTTCTCGTCTTCAGACTAAACATGCCCAGCTCTTTAAGCCGCTCCTCATAGGACTTGTTCTCTAGACCCTTGATCTGCTCTCTCCTCCCTATGACTTCTTCTCACATATTTATACATGGCTCTCAGCATGTCTCCTCTCAGCCTTCTCTTCTTCAGACTAAACATACCCAGCTCTTTAAGCCGCTCCTCATAGGGCTTGTTCTCCAGACCCTTGATCTGCTCTCTCCTCCCTATGACTTCCTCTCACATATTTATACATGGCTCTCATCATGTCTCCTCTCAGCCTTCTCTTCTTCAGACTAAACATGCCCAGCTCTTTAAGCCGCTCCTCATAGGACTTGTTCTCTAGACCCTTGATCTGCTCTCTCCTCCCTATGACTTCTTCTCACATATTTATACATGACTCTCATCATGTCTCCTCTCAGCCTTCTCTTCTTCAAATTAAACATACCCAGCTCTTTAAGCCACTCCTCATAGGGCTTGTTCTCCAGACCCTTGATCTGCTCTCTCCTCCCTATGACTTCCTCTCACATATTTATACATGGCTCTCATCATGTCTCCTCTCAGCCTTCTCTTCTTCAGGCTAAACATACCCAGCTCTTTAAGCCACTCCTCATAGGGCTTGTTCTCCAGACCCTTGATCTGCTCTCTCCTCCCTATGACTTCCTCTCACATATTTATACATGGCTCTCATCATGTCTCCTCTCAGCCTTCTCTTCTTCAGACTAAACATGCCCAGCTCTTTAAGCCGCTCCTCATAGGACTTGTTCTCTAGACCCTTGATCTGCTCTCTCCTCCCTATGACTTCTTCTCACATATTTATACATGGCTCTCAGCATGTCTCCTCTCAGCCTTCTCTTCTTCAGACTAAACATACCCAGCTCTTTAAGCCGCTCCTCATAGGGCTTGTTCTCCAGACCCTTGATCATTTTAGTCACCCTCTTCCTCTGGACACATTCCAGCTTGTCAACATCTCCCTTCAGTTGTGGTGCCCAGAATTGGACACAATGTAATTCCAGGTTTGGTCTAACCAGAGCAGAATAGAGCATGGGGAGCATGACTTCCCTGGATCTAGACACTATGCTCCTATTGATGCAGGCCAAAATCCTCTTGGTTTTTTTTTGTTTTATTTTGCCACCGCATGACATTCCTGGCTCATGTTTAACTTGTTGTCCACAAGGACCCCAAGATCTTTTTCACACATACCGCTCTCGAGCCACGTGTCCCCCAACCTGTATCTTTGCATTTCATTTTTGACAGAAGTCAAACTGGAAAGCTCTTCTTGACCCAGGGCCCTCCTTCCTCTTTTCTGATCTCTTTTCCCCTTCTAACAATTAAACATCACCTGGCTGTGTTCTTGAGAAACTCTAAAACAATTCAAGCTGTCACGGTGATTTAAGGATGAAGACATGTCAAGATGTGACCAGTAAACATGTGCCATGCCAAATGCTACATTTCTGAAGGATGAGGGTCCAATCTGCCCCTCTCTTCTGATAGGAGGTCCTGATTTATAAAGACTGCTTATAGATAAAAATTCTACAAATGCTTTGCTTTCACCTCAGTACTCATAATACAAAGCCTGACTTCTATTTGCATGCAAGCTTCTATGCCAACATAAATGTAATCTGAACCATTTAAAGCCTGCTTTCATACTTGCCAGCATGATGTAAAGGACCCAGAGCGTAAATGAAATTCAAGGGAGGAAGAACAACTATAATGTCCAATGTAAGGTACAATGTCCCTCTCATAGGAACCTGCATGTCAGAAGCATTTGAATTAAAATTACCATATTGAATTCAAATCTGATTTTTTTAAAAAATTATTTGGTGTGCATTGGAAGAGGGGTGGTCTTATACGGCGAGTATATCTCAAACTCTATATTTTAACTGGAAAAGTTGGGGGTCGTCTTATACGCCCAGTCGTCTTATATGCCGGAATATACGGTAACTCTGGCTGTGTGATTCTTTCTGTAATAGGTATTTTTTAAAATTGCAAATACTTTAATATAGGCAGAGAGAAGTGCTAACTGCGTTCCACATTGACGTTATTCAATGCTTTATGTCTGTTTTATAGCCATAGAACAAAGTTTAATTCGGGATGGAAATGCTAATTGTACATCAGCTGATGTCAGAATACGAAAATCACAGGTATGGTATAGTCAGCAAATGTGTAGGTGGCCATGTTGTGAAGTATGAAGGGAAGCTTCTCAGACTTTTGAGAGCACAAGCAAGAGAATAAACAACAGTTTGGCACTTAACTTTTTCTGGATCCCATCTGAATAATGAGATGGTGACAGGGAACATGAGCACACTCCCTGGCTTCTTCTGCCTCTTTCTCATATAGGCATATAGGAGTCTCCAGTGGTGCAAAGGGTTAAACCCTTGTGCCGGCAGGAAGGAAGACCAACAGGTCAGAGGTTCGAATCCAGGGAGAGTGTGGATGAGCTCCCTCTGTCAGCTCCAGCTCCCCATGCGGAGACATGAGAGAAGCCTCCCACAAGATTGGTAAAACATCAAAACATCCAGGCGTCTTGTGAGCAGTATCCTTGCAGACGGCCAATTATCTCACACCAGAAGCAACTTGCAGTTTCTCAAGTCTCTCGTGACACACACAAACGTAGGGATATGGGAGGAAGAGCAAAGTAATCTCATTGAAGACCCAGAAATATCAGATTAATCTACAGGGAATGGGATTAGGAAAGGTGGCCTGAATGGGCCAAATTAGGCCCATTGGCTGGAGATTTCCCCCCTCCAACTCCATGTAGAAGACAAATTTGGAAAAATGTATTTATTTTGTAAAAATGTACAAATGTACAAATGTATTTGTAAAAATGTATGTATGTCTACTCCCAGCACGCTGTGTTGACCTGGAAGTTTGTGGAGGTTATGACAACATATAATACAACTCAGACAGTTTTTCGGGAACGCACAAAGGATCAGATACGGCGCCAATTAGAAATAAGTAAGTGAGACCATTACTACTACTACTACTACTATTATTATTAATTTATTTTTATCCCGTTTTTACTCTACGGGTGAGACTCAAAGCGGCGCACAAATTGTTAAAAACATTACATAATACAAGAGCCCAACATCATCCTCCCAACCCCAACAAGTAAAGAAGAAACAACACACTGCATAAACACATTACATAAACCATATAAAATAAACATAATAAATAACAAAATTTATCATTATCAATAAAAATCCCTGGGCCTCAGGCTACTGAGGTTGTCCTTAAAACATCAAACTAAAAAATCTTGAAACTCCACATCTTTGGCTGTGTGAACCTTGCCAGACCAGGATAGCCTTCAGTGTTGAGTCTTGGCAATAATCACTAGTTGTTTAGTCATAGTTTATTGTGGGTTGTTGGGGAAGGCCCGCTTCCATAGAAAGGTTTTGACCTGAGAGAGAAAGGCTAATAATGAGAGGGCTAAACACACCTCTTTGGGGAGGGAGTTCTAGAACCACAGGGCCACCAACGAAAAGGACCCCTCTCTCATTCCCACCATCTGTACTTGTGATGGTGGTGGGACCGAGAGAAGGGCCTCTCCTGATGATCTCTATGTTAGATGTTTTTATTGTTGACCATGCTTTTAAATGTACTTGTTTATTTTTATTTATTTATTTATTATTCGAACTTATATGCCGCCACTCCCCTGGGGCTCGGAGCGGCTTACAAGAACAGGCTAAAATCTAACGCATTTTAAAAACAATTCAAAACAATTTAAAAACAGCAATATCAAAAATCAAAGGCCTGTCAAAACAGATATGTCTTACATGCCCTGCGGAAAACTGATAAGTCCCGCGAGGCACGGACTTCAGGTGGCAGAGTATCCCAGAGTGATGGTGCCACTGCTGTGAAGGCTCTGCGTCTGGTTGCTGTTAGACACAAGGTCTTGACACTGGGAATTTCCAACAAATCTTGGTCCTCAGAACGGAGGGATCTCGGGTTGGTAGGGGGTGAGGCGGTCCCTCAGGCACATCGGCCCCAGACCATGCAAGGCCTTAAAGGTGAGTACCATCACTTTGAAAGTGATCCGGTGCTCAATTGGTAACCAATGCAGCTGTAGTAAGATGGGGTTATGTGGCATCTCATCGGAATTCCCGCAAGAAGCCAAGCAGCTGCATTTTGTACCAACTTGAGCTTCCGGATCACCGACAGAGGAAGGCCAATGTAGAGGGCATTACAGTAGTCCAGTCTTGAGATGACCGTAGCCTGGATCACCGTAGCTAGGTCATTCCTGGACAGGTAGGGGGCCAGCCGTCTAGCCTGCTGCAGATGAAAAAAGGCGGTTCTGCTAACGGCGGAGACTTGGGCCTCCATCGTCAGCTAGAGGGTCCAAAAGGACTCCCAGACTCTTTACCAATGATGACAGGCGTAGCGCCTCGCCATCCAGGGTAGGCAGCTGGATATCCCCAGCCATAGGATCTCTGTCTTTGCTGGATTCACCCTCAACCTGCTGGCACACAGCCATCCAGTAACGGCCTCGAGGCACTGATGGAAAATAATCGGGTACAGAGTCCGGTCGCCCTTCCATCTTCAGCACCAGCTGAGTGTCATCAGCGTACTGGTAACACTCAATCCCAAAACCTCGAACCAGCTGAGCAAGTGGTCGCATATAAATGTCAAACAACAGAGGGGAGAGAATGGCCCCCTGAGGAACCCCACAAAATGGAGGGGACCTCTCAGAGACCAGGCCTCCCCTCTCTACTCGCTGTCCACAGTTGTGAAGAAAGGAGGACAGCCAATTTAAAGCTGTCCCCCTGATTCCAACAGCAACAAGGCAGTGGGTCAAAAGATTGTGGTCGACTGTGTCAAATGCTGTGAGATCCAATAACACAAGCAGCGCTGATTCGCCCTGGTCAAGCTGGCATCGAAGGTGATCCGTGATGGAGACCAGCACAGTCTCTTTAGTGATTAGTTTAGTGATTAGTTGTTCTATGTTTTTATTTTGATATTTAATTTCATTAGATTAGTACAATGCTGTTATTATTCCGTATTATGTTTATTGCTGTAATGTTTTTGGTGTATGCCGGGCACTGAATATTTACCTTTGTATCTGTAAACTGATAAGGGGAGATAGGAGGGTTTAAAAATAAAGTTTGTTTATTTATTCATTTATTTGTGTGGGCTGATAGGAGGAGATACTTGAAGTCCCTCAAGTAGGTGGTAGTGGTGGTGTTCTGCTATACAAGATTATCATTTCCAGAAATGTTTAGAAGAGGAGAGCAGTGTTTGGTAATTCTGCACAGTTGTGTAATTTTTTGTTACTTAGGGGCGAAACTCTCCCCTTTCTTGACACCTCCAAGTTTGATGCTAATACCAAGTTTGCACAATTAAAGCTTGTGCACCAGTTGTACCCATACTTTGGGAAGTCAGACTTGGCCATGGTGGTCCACACTCTCGGTACATCCCGAATAGAATACTGCAATGCACTCTATGTGGGGTTGCATTTGAAGACTGCTCGGAAGCTTCAGCTAGTCCAACGGTCGGCAGCCAAGTTGCTCACTGGAGCGCCATACAGAGAGCATACAACTTCTTGGCTACTCCAGATCCACTGGCTGCTGATTTGCTACCGAGCACAATTCAAAGTGCTGGTTTTAACCTTTAAAGGCCTGAACAGTTCCAGCCCAGCTTACCTGTCTGAATGTATTTCCCACTATGAACCATTGTGAAGTTTAAGATTGGCTGCTCTCAATCCCACCATCATCGCAAACATGACTGGTGGGGTGAGAGACAGAGCCTTCTCAGTGGTGGCCCCTTGCCTGTGGAACTCTCTTCCCAGTGACATCAGATTGGCTCCCTCCCTCCTGTCCTTTAGAAAGAAACTCAAAACCTAGTTATGGGACCAAGCATTCGGACAGTAGAGGCAGCAGTCAAGAATAAGACTTCAAGTTGTATGAATGACAGTGGACTGACCTGGACTCTGATTTTAAGCCTGAATGATTTTAAACAAATGTCTTAAGTAATGTTTTTAATTAATTGCTTTAATTGTATTCTCATTTATGATTGTGGTTGGCATTGTATGAATGCCTGTTGTGAAGCCGCCCCGAGCGCCGTCCCCCCCCCCCCCCCCCCCCCCCCCCCCCGGGTGTGTGTGAGAAGGATGGGGTATAAATATGCTAAATAAATAAAAAAATACTTAAGAAAATAGTTTATTTATTCATAGTTTAGTACATTTCTGCAGATTTGAGCAGAAAATTCATATTAATAAAAACAACAATTACACCACAGTTTTCAACTAAGTTAGTTTATAACTAAATTGAACAAACAGGTCCAATATAATTGTGAGTATGTTGACTTGTGGGTGTAAAACAGGAGTGTGTGGGTCCCTGTGAACTGAAGATACTATCCAGATTCTAGGCTTTTCTCTCCAACATGGACAAGGAAGATGTGCAAGTAGTCTCTTCTTTAGAAAGAAGAAGAAGAGTAAGACCTATATTCTAGGGTTGTAAGGATTACTGAGAATGTGAACATAAAAACATAATGTGAACATAAAAAAAGCAATGTACGATACGATACGATTATACAATGTGTAATAATTTGGAAGGACTGATTAATATTGTTTCATTGTACTATATCATGTTTCATTATGCAACATGTAATAATATTATGAAACAGAAATATTAGCCAGTTCTTCCCAGTTTTGCTGTCTATTTAATTGCTAAGCATATGTCCACTGCTTTTTTAGCAAAGTTGTATAAGATGAGTAATCTCCCCATCCTGTCATTTATTTAGGGTGAAAGGAAGACATCTTGGGAGCTTTCAGACTTCAATTAAAGCTGTTTGTATGCCCATTTTATAAATAAATACCTTTTTCTTACTAGCTGGAAAAACCACAACTGATGAAGAACTGGAAGACATGCTGGAAAGTGGGAATCTTTCTATTTTCACTTCTGATGTATGTATTTTGAGCTTGCTTTCACTGCTCTTATATGTATTAATACCTCTTCCTGCCCACAGGTTTATAATTTAGACTAGCTTGGGTATCTGGTGTTGCCTGGGTTATTTGAAAAAGTCAAAATTTTAATTGTACAAAATTCACAACATTGTGGATTAGCTACAACTGACATAATCCCAGGTTAACCCCGAGAAACTCCATCAGTACCTAAAGTTTGTTATGTTGGGCGAGTTTGCTCTAGATGCATCATCTAGAGGATTCAGTGTGCTCTCTGGCTGCAGGGTAAACTACAACACCCACTATGATCAGTCAATCCCCTTAAACCCCTCCAGTAGGTTGAGTTAGTTATAGGGGTTCTGTGTGCCAAGTTTGGTCCAGGGCCATCATCGGTGGAGGTCACAGTTTCTCTGGTTGTGGGTGAACTACACCTCCCAGAAAGGAAGATCAGCCCCCCCCCCCCCCACTCCAGTAATCAAATTTTGGTATGTGTATGTGTGCCAAGTTTGGTCCAGATCCATCAGTGTTTGGGTTCACAGTGCTCTCTGGATGTAGGTGAACTACAAGTCCCTCAATTCAAAGTGAATTTCCCACATAGACCTCCCATATTGTTTGCTGCTCATGGGGCTTCTGTGTGCCAAGTTTGGTGCAATTCCATCTTTGGCAGAGTTCAGAGTGCTTTTTGATTGCAGGTGAATGATACATCCCAGTACCTAAAACCCCAAAATGTCCAGGCCAATTCTTCTCAAAACCCACCAGTATTCAAATTTGGGCATATTGGGTATGCATGCCATGTTTGGTCTGGATCCATCATTGCTTGGGTTCATAGTGTGCTCTGGATGTAGGTGAACTACACCTCCCCTAAATCCCTCCAAAGACTTCCAGTATTTTCTGTTGGTCATGGGGGTTCTGTGTCCCAAGTTAGTTCCAGGTCCATCGTTGGTGGAGTTCAGAGTGCTCTTAGATTGCAGGTAAACTATACATGCCAGTATCTACAACTCCTGTGTCCAGGTTGGTTCATCAGGTGCTCTGCTATGGCTGATTTTTCTGGTTGCAGTAGTTTGCAGTGCCTTTCATGTTCCTTGATGCGTGTCTGGGCGCTGCGTTTGGTGGTCCCTATGTAGACTTGTCCATTTTGTTATTTGAGAACACAGAAGTGCTGGACCACTCTCACAACCACCAAGTCAGACTACACAGAGAAGCCATTGAAATCCACAAGCATGTGGACAATTTCAACAGAAAGGAGGAAACCATGAAAATGAACAAAATCTGGCTACCAGTATTAAAAAACTCAAAAATTACAACAGCAAAACAACAGAGGGGAAACAAACAGGCACATAAAATCACTCTCAACAAAAGATTCCCCCCAGGCGCTTCCAGGCCATTGAATGCAAATCAAGGTGATCAGCTGAAACATTCACAGCTAGCCCCGGCAGACAGGGGTCCTTTGTCTCACCCTGGTCATTCCACAGATATATAAACCCATTTTTCCTACTTCCAACAGACTTCACTACCTCTGAGGATGCTTGCCATAGATGCAGGCGAAACGTCAGGAGAAAAATTGCCTCCAGAACATGGCCATATAGCCCGGAAAAACCTACAACAACCCAGTGATCCCGGCCATGAAAGCCTTCGACAATACATTACTTTGCATTGTTTGTTATATTTTATGCTTGCTTTATTTTATCTTATTATGATGTTGCTTTATGCTTTTTATGTTACTGCATTGTAATGCATTTCTGGGCTTGGCCTCATGTAAGCCGCCTCGAGTCCCCTTCAGGGAGATGGTGGCAGGGTATAAATAAAGTTTGTTGTTGGTGTTGTTGTTGTTGTTATTGGCTGCTCTCTATAACCTAAAATGTCATTGGAGGGAGGCTCATTGGTGTCTCCTGAGCAGTGGAAGCTATAGCTGTTTGTGGAGGCGGGAGCTTGTTTGTGGAAGTGGACACCCCAGCCACACACATATATACATATTTTCACTTTTATTATGAGTATAGATAGATTTTGAAATGTTTGTGTGAACTGTGTTTCTTTAATTTAAAAAACCCAATACATTAATGCAGTGTATGTCTTTTTTTCCCTAAGATCATTTTGGACACCAAAATTACTAGAGAAGCTCTTGATGAAATTGAGTCACGTCATAACGATATTATAAAACTGGAATCCAGTATACAGGAGCTTCATAAAATGTTCATGGACATGGCAATGCTTGTTGAAGTTCAGGTATGTGATGTTAACACCATTGGAGTCCAAAACAACATTTTATTTTTTATTAGAACCATGCCGGATTAAACTACTTCAAATCTTTTAAGTATAGGCTGTAGGTAGTGGGTGACCATTATAAGAAACTTCTAACTGTTTGAATCCATGTATTCTTAGGCCCCATCAACACTGCCATATAAAATCCAGATTATCTGCTTTGAATTGGATTATATAACAGTGTAGACTCATATAATACAATTCAAAGCAGATAATCTGGATTACCTGATTTGATAATTTGGATTATATTGCAGTGTGGATCCAGCCTTCCATTGGATCACATAAACCATAAAAAACACTGTGTTATAGGTTTGCTGTAAGGTTTGCAACTCGATAATATGTGATCCGCTTTCAACACATAATAATTTTATTTTGTGTCAAAAGCATTTCATAAATAAGTATAAACCTGATAAAATAAAGGGAGTGCGAGCAGTTTTAAAAAATTAGACCAAAAACGGGCAGCAGTGACCGCATTGTCTGCAGCTTTAAACATTTCTTCTTTTGTGTATGAGGCAGGGCATTGTGGGCAAACATACAGATGCTGAGTGGTTTGTTCTCCTCCACAATCGCACAAGATGGAGGTTTCTTCTAGGTAGTGCCATTGTGCCAGGTTGTCTTTTGATCTGCCCACTCTACTTCTGAGTCTGTTCAGGGACTTCCACGTTGCCCATTCTTGGTCTGCCCCTGGAGGAAGTCCCTCATGGGGGGGGGAGGGGGGCATCCAGTTGGAATTGCCTAGTGTAGCTGCCCTCAGAGAACATTTAGAGGAGTAGAGGTTCTCATGAAACTTTCCCTTGATTTAAGTGTAGTGGAAGGAGACTGATAGCCATACATTGAGTGGCTTTCACAGTGTTCAACCTTATTTCTCTCACAGTTAGCTACATCTTCCCATCGCACATCAGGGGAATGATTGTCAGCTAGCTTATAAAGTCTATCAGCAGGTGTAGATTTGAGACATCCTGTGATTATTCTACATGTTTCATTCAGTCCTATATTCACCTTCTTTGCATGGGCAGATTTATGCCAGACGGGGCAGGCATACTCAGCAGTCAAGTAAGACAAGGCAAGGCTGATGTTCTTATTAATTTTGGGTCTGCATCCCATGCACTGCCAGTAAGTTTCTGCAGTGGGTTAAACCCCTGTGACGGCAGGACTGAAGATCGACAGGTCGCAGGTTCGAATCCGGGGAGAGGCGGATGAGCTCCCTCTATCAGCTCCAGCTCCTCATGCGGGGACATGAGAGAAAACTCCCACAAGGATGATAAAACATCAAATCATCCGGGCGTCCCCTGGGCAATGTCCTTGCAGACGGCCAATTCTCTCACAGCAGAAGCGACTTGCAGTTTCTCAGGTCGCTCCTGACATGACAAAAAAAATAATAATAATCCCTGTTTTGCTAATAACTATTGTAAAGCAGTATGTTCGAAGATCTCCAGAAGGGTGTATCTAACAAAGATTGAGGGTTAGATCTTAGTGCTACCATTCACCCTGCCAAAACCTGAAAGACAAAGCAAGTGTGGTATTTTAGCTTTTTCCTGTTATGCAAGCTGGTTTTTCTTTCTATAAGAACTGAAGGAGGTAAGAAGAAGAAAATATTTTAAATAGCAAATTTTTCAAGAAGCATTGTATTTTTCAGCATATTTTTGGACTAGTATGCAAATATTATGCAAGCATTCAATAAAACATTCAGAGCCTTTGCTTTACTCAGTTTCAAATGTTGTGTTTTGCTTTGTTTTAGAACAGTGGTTCTCAACCTGTGGGTCCCAAAATGTTTTGGTCTTCGACTCCCCAACATCCCAATAGCTGGCAAACTGGCTGGGATTTCTGGGAGTTGTAGGCCAAAACACCTGGGGACCCACAGGTTGAGAACCACTGCTAAAGGTATATACACTATCACATTCAGATATCTTTTCATAGAGCCTAAAATGCTTGCTTAAGAGCAATTCAATGTTTACATATGCTTTTTAATACGTTAGCCCTGAGTCTTCATGTAAAGAGGCATTTTGTGTGTCCTTTGATCATATTCCTTTGGGGAACTTTTGAAACTGCAGAAATGAGCAAATTGTAACACTTTGCTGTTTATTGCTAATCATAATGTCTGCCGCTGGACAGAACTGCACAGGTAACAGTCCTACAATATCCCCATCTTTCCCATATCATTTTCATGTTGGTTCATCCAGTCTGCTGTAGTGTTGCATACTGGTATTCTAGTAGGATGCATTCAAAAGCCAACTGTACATCCCATTCTACCAGCTTGGCCCTGTAGCGCTAGACTGGCAGAGTCAGCCTGTAAGAATTTAAGCCTGAAATAGAAAATAGGAAAGCAGTGGACGCATGAACATACTAATTAGCGTGATGTACACAGGAAAGATATAGAGGTAGACAAGTGGGTTTACAATGCAGAATTACAGAGAATTCTGAGATAGCACAGCAAAGGGCTTTGGTAGCATAATTTTGCTGAAGATCCCTAACTGGTATACATGCAAAGTAAATTAATGTTAATTTGTAGGTGCTTAGCTGGCTTTTTCTCCTATCTATAAGCATCTACCAAATCAAAGCCTGTTAAAATACAAAATTATACTTTAAGGCTGAATGGATAAGGCATGTGTTTGGCTGGATGGACTGTTGAAGAGGCAACATTGTGAATGCACTCCTGTTAGAATGCTGATCACAAGCAAGCTGTTTAAAGCAAGTCTCGTTTTTGTAGTTCTTCTTTGTGATCTCTTGTGACTCACACAAATGGTGTTATCTTGCACAGTGCATCATTTGGAACCTTCTATCCTATACAGGGGATTTCCCACCTAAACAGCCAGTTCCTTTTGATTTACCACTGGAGCAGTATTAATAGGGTCCATATGTGATTTTCTTTTAGTTCTTTGGATTCTTTGATGAATTTGCCTTGGGTCAGATACCTGGTTGCACTCACCCTGGACTCTTGCTTGTGTCCTTCAAGATATGTGTTACTTGCGACACAAAGATAACAGAAAGGGATAGACATGTGAAGTGCTTCCACTGCCTCAGAGACACTCCTGTGGCTTCTTCTTGTGCCCACTGTCGAGCCTTTGTGCCTAAAGCAAGAACGAATCCCTCTAGACAGTTCTAGATGAACAACACACATGGGATGAACATTCAGGGGATGGCTATCGGGAGGTCAGTTCAAATCTGGAGGTCGATGCTTGGTGGAAATTGACACATAGAAGTAGGAGGACCTGGCATCGTTCTGTGAATCTGGAATTAGAGGATTGATTTGAAGTTCTCTCCCCAGTGAGAGGTGATGAGGAACAAGAACACATTGGGAAGCATGAGAGGTTCTTGTGCACAGCTGAGCGGACTGTCCTAGATGATGCATGGGGAATTTCTCTAAGGAGGAGACCAGTTCACAAAAGCAGGAAGTGAACGATTGGAGGAATGTGACATATAGAAGAACCGAGGATCACTCTGTGAATTTGAAGCTACAGAAACCATTCAAAATTCCCACCCACATCACAAATGAAGAGGAACAGAAACAGGAGCAACAGAGCCAGTTCTCAGGAGATCAGCAGTGCACCTTATAGGATTCAACACAGGAAGGGGGCCCTACCAGTCCCCAGAGGAGACATGTGCTGGTAGTAGGGGACTCCCTCCTGAGGGTGATTTGCAAAGCTGACAAGATGTCTCAAGAAATATTCTATCTACATGGGGCAAAAATCCACCATGTAACTGAGTGGCTGGTGAGACTCATCAAGACCAGTGAACATCCCGCTCTCCTGTTGGTTCATATGGGGACAAAAAGGTCAGGAGGGATTTTGAAACTCCTGGAGTCAAGAACGATTTGGCTTCCTGAGCCATGGTTCAAACGGCCCTGGGTCCCTACGGGGAGAAAGGGTGGGATATAAATAAAATTATTATTATGATCTGGTTTTCCATGAAGATGGGCTTCTGGCACAGGATGGCTTGCATTTCACAAAGATTGGCAGGAATGTTTTTGCTGAGAGACTTGCAAACCTGATCATCCTTTGGGCTTTGAACTGAGTTGTGGGGAGGCTATGTGGAGGGATGACTCGACAATTGTTTTACTATTGTTTCAGTTTATTTTAGTGTCTTGTGTTTTTTTTATATAATTTTAATTCAGGGATTTTAAGTTGTGCTTTTTTGAACATTCAATAACAAATTGAAAAAAAGCCCTCATTATAGAATAGAATCCTGGTTTTGGGCTAATACTGTTTTGGGTGGATCAGTTGTTTATTCTGCTGTATTTTGAATGTAATGGTGACATTCCAGTTTGCCTTTGGAATGTCTATTACTTGACTTCACTACAAGGTGATGCTCATTTTGCATTTTTCCATTGACTGAGGAACTTCTGCTGATGATCGTGCCATCACCGCCCAAGCAGGGAGGTTTGAAATGGTTGAACAGAGCTCTCCAAAGCTTTAGGTGCTATTAATTCCTATTACAGGGATAACCATCTGATTCCTAATCCATCTAAAACACAGACATGTGCGTTTCACCTTAAGAACAGACAAGCATCTCGATCTCTGAGGATTATCTGGGAAATAATCCCACTGGAGCATTACAGCACACTAAAAAACCTGGGAGTTATGCTGGACTGTGCTCCGATTTACAAGAACTACTGTTTGACTATCAAGCAAAAAGTGGGCGCAAGAAATAATTTCATACGAAAGCTGACTGGCACAGCCTGGGGGTCACAACCAGACACAATGAAGACATCTGCCTTACGTTTTGCTACTCTGCTGCTGAATACGCATACCCAGTGTGGAACACATCTCACCACGTTAAAACAGTGGATATGGCTGTTAATGAGACATGCCACATTATCACAGGATGTCTACACCAACGCCACTGGAGAAATTATACTGTTCAGCTGGTATTGCACCACCTGACATATGCCAGGAAGTAGCAGCCAATAATGAAAGGACCAAGGCAGTGACATCTCCAGTCTATCCCCTGTTTGGCTATCAGCCAGCATGCCTACGCCTTAAATCAAGAAATAGCTTTCTAAGATCTACAGACATACCCGCGGGAACCCTCAGCAAGTGAGAGTTCAAAAGTGGCAGGCTCAAACCTGGAACCTCAATCCATGGCTCATACTGAATGAGAGACTCTCTCCTGGGCACACAGAAGACTGGGCAACTTGGAAGGCACTGAACAGGTTGCGCTCTGGCACCACGAGATGCAGAGTGAATCTTAAAAAATGGGGCTACAAAGTGGAGTCCACAACTGGAGCTCTCCAACATGTGGAGATGAGCAAACCACAGACCACTTACTACAATGCGGTCTGAGCCCTGCCACATGCACAATAGAGGACCTTCTTACAGCCACACCAGAGGCACTCCAAGTGGCCAGTTACTGGTCAAAGGACATTTATTATAATGCCAAGTTTTTAACTTTGTTTATGTCTTTAAATACATTACAACTGTACCCTCAATTCACTTCTGATACAAGAAATAAATAAATATCCTTAGAACTAGCAGGTCTGGCAGGAAGCCCCTTTTATGGAGTGGTAAAGGTGAGCAGGGCTACCTTCAAACAGTTCATGTAATGCTTTAGACGGTTCCGAGTGATACACTGTGCAGGCATGTGATAGCTCACTTGTGTGAGTTCATAGGTGACCACTTGAAGAACTACAGTTACAGGTATGCAACCTGTCCTTGTGCTTTCTATTTTCAGTATTAACTTTCCCTGCCAGCAAATGTGACTTCCCTGTTCCTTTGGTTAAAAATTGATTTCAGTACACATATTCTACAAAGCCTGCCATATTTCTTTAAAATATGAATGCAGTTTGTTGTTTTTGCACAGTGCTTATATTCATCATAATTCTGGTGTTAACTCTGTTTTTGTTGTACATTCTTCATTTTCAACTTTTTAAGGGTGAAATGGTGAACAGCATAGAGAAAAATGTTATGAATGCAGTTGATTATGTCGAGCATGCAAAAGAAGAGACCAAAAAAGCTGTTAAATATCAAAGTAAAGCTCGCAGGGTAAGTTTTCATTTTTGTGAACCAAGTTAGTTTTCGTTAAACATTGTTTAATGCAGATAGACTTGTTATATTTCGTCTTCAAGTACAAGAAGCAAAATCATTTTTTTCTGAAGTATTCTCATAAAGCAAGGGACCCTTAAAAAAACCCAATCAGATTCCACCTGAACATTAGGAAGAACTTCCTGACCATAAGAATTGCTGTTCAGCATGGAACTCTTTGCCTCGGAGTCCGGGGGAAGCTCCTTCCTTGGAGGTGTATAAACAGAGGCTGGATGGCCATCTGTCAGGGATGCTTTGATTGTGCTTTTCTTGCATAGTGGCAGTGGGGTGGGCCTGGATGGCCCCATGATCTCTTATAACTATGATTCTAATTCAAAAATTTGTACATGCAAATGTGATCATCCCACTGTGTGGCTTCTGAGGTTACTGACTCTACCCCTTGAGTCACGATTTTGTAAATGGGCAAACTATTTGTTCATTGCCAATTTCTGTTCTAGTAAACCAATAACAATTAGATCCTGTAGCCCAGTGTTTCTCAACCTGGGGGTCGGGACCTGGGGGGGGGGCAAGAAGGTTTCAGAGGGTTCGCCAAAGACCATCAGAAAACACATATTTCTCATGGTCTTAGGAAACCTTTAGGCAGAGAAGACTGAAGATCACCTGTTCTCTTTTTTTTTTGGTGTTGGTAAACTACAACTCCCAGAATTCAAAAACATCCCCCCGACCCCACCAGTATTCAAGGTTGGCCATATAGATAGTGTGCCAAGTTTGGTGCAGATCCATGGTGGGCTGAGTTCAAAGGGCTCTTTAATTGTAGGTTAACTACAAATCCCAGCAACTACAACTCCCAAATGACAAAACCAACTCCCGCCTCAACCCCCAATTTGGGCATATCGGGTATTTGTGCCAGATTTGGTTCAGTGGATGAATATACATCCTGCATATCAGATATTTACATGATGATTCATAACAGTAGCAAAATTACAGTTATGAAGTAGCAATGAAAATAATGTTATGGTTGGGGGTCACCACAACATGAGGAACTGTATTAAGGGGTCCTGGCATTAAGAAGGTTGAGAACCACTGCTGTATCCTGAACTGTGCTTGGGCCTGCAGTAATCGCCAGATGGGGTGGTGGCATAATTAGCACTTGATCTCTCTAAAATAGGAAAGAGGAATGTGTGCCCCCATCTGGTAATTTTGGCTGATGCTTGATGGGAGTTGTAGTCCAATAACATCTGGAGAGTAACATGTTTCCCATCCCTGTCCTAAAATAGAGCTTTAACAGCATTTGTCAAAATGGCTTTCCTTCTGCAGAAAAAGTGGATAATTCTCATTGTTGTCCTGGTGCTGTTTGCTGTGCTTGCTCTAGTTATTGGCTTGTCTTTTGGGATTCAGTGATGATCATATAACTCCAGCATGCATCTCATTTTGTTGCTGTACAGTAAGTACTAATCAGCTAACTTTCTTTGCATGTTACCTGATATCTGCTGATGATCCATTTCATTCTGCAATCTTTAACATCTTGGCCATCAGTGGGTTGCATTCAACAGTCACATAAGACTGATGTTTTCAATCTAGGACTCGATTATTGGGGCTGGGTGGAGTGTGACAGTTTCTTTGGGGGGGGGGGGTGATGACTTGGCACACATGTAGTCTCAAATGAAGCTACAGTGGGGCCAAGGAAGTTCAGGTTACAGGCAACCCACTTTTCCCACCACTCCATTGGATCCCACACGAGGCCTAGGGTGCTAATTTGTTCACCCTCTAGAGAGGGAAAAGGGATGCAGCCAAAGCAAGCACATGGGCAAGGAGGGAGAGAGGAAGAGAAGGGAGTTTCAGGGTGGAGTGGTGTGGTCGGGCTAACATGTGCATGGCAATAGGAGCTAGAACTGTCTTTGGTGTGCTCATGGGGCACGGAGTTAGGGAGGAGGAGGAGAGAAGTGAGTGTTAGGGTGTGGGAGGAAGGGAAGAAAGGAAGGGTGAGGCTTGCATGCGCATGGCAGAGGCAGCTGCTTTTGGAGCAGGTGCAGAGAAGGTGGAATAGAGAGAGATGGACATGAATACATTCATAGTCATGGGATGAGGCTCTCCCTATAAACCTGGTGAGAACACTTGTTCACTCCACAAGGTTCACTTAAAATGGTTTAGGGCAGCAATGGAGGCTGCTTCTCAACAGCATTTGAATAGGGACTTGAGCAAATGAATATTTTGGTATATGCAGGACAGCCTGGAACCAATTCCCTGTGGATATGGAAGCCCCACTATTTTCAAAACTGTGAAACCTAACAAAGTACCGTATATACTCAAGTATAAGTTGACCCGAATATAAGCTAAGGCACTTAATTTTACCACAAAAAACTGGGAAAACATATTGACTTGAATATAAGCCAAGGGTGGGAAATGCAGCAGCTACTGGTACATTTCAAAATAAAAATAGATACCAATAAAATTATTTTAATTGAGGCATCAGTAGGTTAAATGTTTCTGAATATTTAAATAAACTGTAATTTAAAATAAGACTGCCCATCTCTGATTAAACCATTCTTCTAACCTTCTTCAATGTAAATGTGCTTACGTATGCTTTCAATTATAATAAAGAGAGTAAAATAATAAAAGTAATAAAAATAATAGAGTAAAATAATGCAAATGTAATAACAATAATAAATGGAGTAAAATAATAAATATAATAATTATAGAGTAAAACAATAAATGTAATAATAATAGAGTAAAATAATGTAAATGTAGTAATAGGGTAATACCTATTCCAATTCAAGAGACTTGAACATGTTTAGGACATGGGTGAAGAAATAAGTGGCGGGGCCCAATCCCTGTGAATGGAAGTAACTGTTGCTGGTTTCATTTCTACTTACTCCTGAGTTGGCATGCTTATGATCTGGTCATTCATCTCAAGCCTTATGCATTTACTCAGCATTTAAAAGGGAAGGAGGAAATGGGGTGAGCAAATGTCATATATGGTGGCATGAGCACTGGGAAATGTTTTCCTATTGTCCCATGCTATTCTATTTCCTGCTAGGAGTAAATGCCATTGAATTACTATATAGACTCAAGTATAAACCAACCTGAATATAGGCCGAGGCACCGAATTTTACTACAAAAAACTGGGAAAGCGTATTGACCTGTGCATAAGCCAAGGGTGGGAAATGCAGCAGCTACTGGTAAATTTCAAAATAAAAATTTAAATACCAATAAAATTACATTAATTGAGGCATCAGTAAATTAAATGTTTTTGAATTTTTACAAAAAACCGTAATTAAAGATAAGACTGTCCAACTCTGACTAAATCATTATTCTAAACTTCTTCAATGTTAATGTGCTTACGTATCCTTCCAATAATCACCATAGTTTATTTTAACTATATATTTTGAGAGAAATGCTGTGTGTATAAGAATAAGGAAAAGTTGGAAAGACTGGTAACTAGGGAAGGGGGAATGACTGAAGTGTGAAAGCGGGGCTGGAAACTGGGAAAGGTTGGGATGGAAAGGTAGGCTGGAAAAGTGGTAAAGACCCCAGTCTAGAGTGTGAAGGGGGGTATTGGGAAACGATGGGGAAACTGGAGTGGGGAAAAGAGGCAGCTGGAAAAGATTGGGATAGGGAAGAGGAAGATTGCAAAATGAGCAAGACTGGGGTGCAAAAGGGGGAACTGGAAAGGTGGAAAGATTCGAGTGAGAAGGGGGCAAGTGGAGAAGTGGGAAAGATTGATGTGGGAGAGGGGCTTAGGAAAGTGGGAAAGACTAGAATGAAAAAAAGGGGCTAGGAAAGTGGGAAACCGCAGTGGGAAAAGGGCCAAGACTGAGATGGGAAAGAGAGGGTGGAACCTGGGAAAGACTGAGATGGAAAGGGAGCTGGAAAAGTGGGAAAGAGGGGCTGGAGATACTAAAGAATGAGGTAGGAATGGGAAACTAGAAAAAGGGAAGACTGGGGTGGGAAAGGGGTGCTGGAAAAGTGGGGGGAAAACCAGGTAGGAAGGGAGAAAGTGGGAAGGACTGGGGAGAGGAAGGTGCCCTTCTCGGCACAGCAAGCCAGCTGTTCCTTCCTTCCTTATTTATTTATTTCTCTTCCATTCCTTCTTTCCCATATTTCCTTTTACCCTAACTTCCCTCCCACCATTTTTCCTCCCTTCCTCCCTTTCCTCACTTCTTCCCTCACTCTCTTTTCCTTCCTTCTCTCTATCCCTTTCTTGTTTCTCCCCTTCTACCACCAATACCCCATACATCGTGCTCCAGAATCAATAGGGAGATGCCGCTTCTGAGGAGCTTCCACCTTTGCAAAGGAGAAGAGAGGTGGCGATGTGCCCCTTTCTCTCCCTCTTTGGGGCCAGGGCCTACTGAGAGAGAGGGTGGGGGAGGGGAGGGGGAGAGGGAGAGGAGAGGAAAGACACCTCCGAGTGAGGGGGAGAGGAAGCAAGGCGCACGAGAGAGGAGAGTGCTGGGTTGCTGTGCGGAGAAGCACAACTTCCCGCCAGGACCTCACTCATGTATAAATCGAGTGGGCTTTATGAGCCCTAAAGAAAAGGGTTGAAAAACTCAGCTTATACTCAAGTATATATGGTAAGTACAAATTGCTTTGGATTGAAGTCGCCCAAGGACTGAAAAATTCCATTTCCAATTTTACTGCTCATTTTATTAAACTTTACACTTGGAAACGAGCACATGCATCACATTGAGAACAACCATTGTGTTGGGTTTGGTAGAACATTTTGAACAATGTTATGTCCTTATAACATGTTAAAATATGAATATATATAAAATGTGTGAATGAAAATATACATGCTAAACAAACAAATTATTATTTGGGTTGTTGTAAGTTTTTCGGGCTGTATGGCCATGTTCCAGAAGCATTCTCTCTTGATGTTTCGCTTGCATCTGTGGCAGACATCCTCAGAGGTTGTGAATTATTATTTATTCATATGCACAGTTGGGGGGGGGGGGGGAATCAGCATCCACATGTCGATTTCAGAACCCCTGACGTAAGCCCTCAAATCGTCGCAAATTGAAGTTCTCTGCTCTGTGAGAACAGAGACATCTTGTGGCTAGTTGCTGAACATATTTTACCTCACATTTCTTCCATTCAACTTTGATAGGCGATTCCAGTGATGCCCACTGGAATTAGATGAATGTATGCAAGCTTTGCATTTGACATAGCATTATTTGGTAGTATACAAAACAATATGATAAAGATGTATTTTTTTTGTTAATACTAGAATTTAAAGTTCCCTCATGGTTTGTATACAATAATGCAAATTTTGAAGGACTAACCCAGTGGTTCCCAACCCTTTTTTTAGACCAGTGACCACTTTGACCATGGACCACTCTCCAACATTAGTACCAAAAGGGTTGTGAATCAGATTTTGGTCAACTTTAGATTCGGTTTGGTTATTTGGGGTGTTGTTTCAGAAAATTGGATTGGATAGACCACATCAGCTCTAGTTTCTGATACAGAACATATGCCATCCAGTAGTCGCCATCTTCTTGCCCACAGAAAACAATATTTAGTAATCTAGAGCTGATGTGGAAGTAGTAATGTTTTGTGGGTAGTCAGCTTCCTCCTTCTCGACATCCCCATTGCCTCAGCACTATAATAGGGTTTCATGAGACCAGTTGCTATTGTCGGCATGTGGTTTTGGGGCAATGATGTAGTAATGGTGAAGCCAGAGACCTTGTTTTCATTTTTGTGAACCACTGGTGGTCCACGGAACACAGGTTGGGAACCAGTGGACTAACCATTTTGTTCTAAAGCTGTTATATCAGGCATGGACAAACCTCGGCCCTCCGGGTGTTTTGGACTTCAACTCCCACAATTCCTAACAGATTACTGGATGTTAGGAATTGTGGGAGTTGAAGTCCAAACACCTAGAGGACCGAAGTTTGCCCATGCTTGTGTTCTAAGTTTATAGAGACTTAGAATAATTCTTTTCAGTTAGAAACATCGGCATACTTTAGCTGAAAATGACGTGAGGTCACTTCTTAAAATCCATCTCTTCTATAACAAACCAACTTATATCTAGATCAGACTATTTAATGGTGTAGCTTTGCATTATCTCATCTAATACCAGTAGTAAGGGCAAAGGAATCCTCATGAGGGAGGACATTCCCAAAGCAAGTTGCCATCTCTGCAAAGGCCTTTTCCTTTGTGGCCACCTATCTTCTCTCATTTAGGTGCCACACTCAAAGAAGGATGTCTAAATATAATCCCAAATCTGGACAGACACATTGGGGACAAGATGTTCCTTCAAATCCTTGAGTTTATGAAGTCCCTTGACACTTTTGGCATGACAGGATATCCACTGAAAATTCCTTACTTTTAAGTAGTTGTGGTTAGTGTGGGGAGTAAATGTTAATGGACTGCATCTCTCTATTCATGTTGTCTATATAGACATACCATATACTAATGTACACCTTTTCTCTCTGCAGAAATTGATCCTTATAATAATTTGTGTATCTGTCTTGATTGTCATCCTTGGAATTGTCCTAGCAGCAACCTTCTTGGAGTGACCAGCATTTTCCAAGCGTTTGGGGTCTTCTAAATGGCACCTTGCAGGGAAAGCCAGTGTCCTAGTTCTGACAAAGACGTCTTCTCTTTTCATTGGATTTTCTTTTCCAGGACTGCCTAATAACTATCTATTTAAATAGGTAATAGCACTTAATGCCTGATACCTTTAAATCTGAATTAAAACTGTAACAGGTGTTGCTTTGTTTCTTCCAAAGACGTTTTTAAAAAACGGGTAAGCTTAAACCACGTGGACTTACTTTCAAGGCTGCCTTTTAAAAAGTTTGCACTGTTTTGGATATGAATTCTAACTTTTGATGCATCAGTGTTACCAGTGTAGAATTAGAGAAAATTAATTGCCCAGAAATATTGAGCTTTTGCTATTTGACTTTGTTTTCTGTTGTTAATTTAATTAATGTCACAATCTTGTTTTTACAGTTTCAAACAGTTGCATTTTCTTAATAACCATTTGACTTCTAGATTTCTAGACTGTATGGATGTAAGCTTCATTTGAAACCATTGAGTTTACTTTTCAAGCCACTTCTACACTGGTATATAATCCAGATTATCAAAGCAGATAACCCAGAATATCGAGGCAGAAAATCCCACAATATCTGCTTTGAAATGAATTATCGGAGTCCACACTGTCATATATTCCACTTCAAAGCGGATAATGTGGGATTTTATTCGGCTGTGTGGAAGGGCCCCCACATTATCCGCTTTGAACTGGATTATATGAGTCTACACTGCCATATAATCCACTTCAAAGCAGATAATCTGGATTTTGTATGGCAGTGTAGAAGGGACCTAAGTTAGTGTGATTAAAACTGCAATATGAAGCTAACTGCTAACTGAACTGCAATATGTTCTCTTGTTTCCAGTTTTACTATCTTACATTTTTAAAAATATAACTTTTAAATTGTGCATACTACGAATAAAGTAAATGTACATGTTCAATTACCTCAAAATAACCAAGTAGAAGTGTAAGTGCCTCTTTTTTAGCACTGACCTAGTAGATATATTTTTGGCACACTCTTTTCAATAATATTCTGTTGCTTGTTGCATAAGTGTGGCCAGGCTGGGACAGAACACTAAGCTTGTGATTGATTGCTGCACGTAGAAGGTGGAACAAGCCTGAGTTAAGCCTTTATGCCTATAGCATTTACTACCACTTTGTATGAAAAAGTAGCTAGTTAAGTCTGAACCAGAGATTGTGGTTTAAAACTGACACTTGATTAATACCTCAGCCAAGCATTCCATAGTTTAGAGTTGGTTTGTTATGAAACAGACAAGAATTGGTTTTATTCTAGTCTATGGGTTGAATGTAAGGTGGGCTTCTTGTAAACTTTGATGAGGGCTGTCAGACTTGTATTAATTGAAGACCCCCTCAGCCTTATGGTTGTCTTCAAAGGGCTGTTGAATCCATGGAATACAGAGGGACAACTATCATGTTTTACATAGTGGCCAGAGCTCTTTAGTTTTTTACCCGATTTGAGTCCTTAGTTGTTACTGAACGAGTACTCCCGTCACTATTGATTTTCCACCATGCGAGTGGTGATAATGGGAACGGCAACTCAGAAGTCCTTGTGGCTCTGAGGTTGAGGAAAGGTTAAAGGACATTGTAACTTCAGATGTCCTATCCCCAAGCCTTGGATCTCAATCCAAATCCCACTCTTCAGACTAAACAGAAGAAATTGCAGCCTTCCAGATGTGACTGCATCCCAGGCATGGGCAAACTTTGGCCCTCCAGGCGTTTTGGACTTCAACTCCCACGGAATTGTGGGAGTTGAAGTCCAAAACACCTGGAGGGCCAAAGATTGCCCATGCCTGCTGTATCCCAACTCCCTTCAGCCCTATTCCTGGGGTCTAATGATGAGGAATCCCGCATCTGGAGGGCTACATCAGATGACACGGTGGGCCAGATTTGCCTCATAGGCCTTGAGTTCCACACACGTGAATTACATTATACCCAGCAGGAATTCTCCTTCTAGCAGAGCCAGGGAAAGACATGGGTGGCGCATAACTCTTAGGCTTGTACGCAGCAGAAGAGTAAATCAGGCCTGGGCACCTTCCAAGGTTGGAGGACTGCATGGAATCCTAGAATGTCAGACTTCTCCATTGTGGTCTGTTCTCCCATTTTTCATCACAAATGGCCAGTAGTGCCTCTGAAACAGGGATCCTGAGGTGACAAATGCAGCTCACGGGGTCACAATTTGCCTCCCATGAAATAAGTTCTAGCTTAGTGTTGCATAGGATTGTTGTTTTATTCTTAATGAAGGTGGTACATTCCCCTGTATGCATTTTGTTCAGGTTTTATGACATTTGTTGACATTAATGGCAGATATTCAGTTGCACCAGATCCTAAGCTGTGAACGTGATTGTACAGTCTGTGCTTGGACGCTCCTGCATGAACCAGCTTCTCTATTTACTTCAGTGGAGGCGAGGATGGGGAGCTACACACACATCTTTAACTTCCTCCATTGAAGTGAACAGAGAAACCTGTGGGGATGGGATTGAGCCAAGCACACCTTAACATTCCCATTGTCTTCTGCAGCTTCCCTTTAATATTAGAGGCACTTGTCCCTAAGGTGATTCGGTGAATTGAGTGCAAATTGCCTAATAACAGAGGAGTTGCTTCAAGTTAAAATGCAAAGATCTTTAAATATGAATATATTTTTGCATTCGTCTTGAATACATCATGCATTACAATAGTGTGTCTGATGCAAGAAGCTATTACGGTTTTCTTCACCTGGGACAAAACCATCCTTTTTTCTATTTTCTCCTCGGTGAATGGAGAAGGATTCAAAAGAATCGCCCTTTTTTGGTGATCCGTTTACAAAGACTTTTAAATAAACCTGACTTTTTGGGGAAGGTTTTCAAGTAATGATTTTCCAAACATGAATGAAGTGCTTTAAAAAGTTTGATGCAAAAAAAAAGTTAGTTTTACTTTATCTGGATCTGGAGTGAAAGTTCCCAGCTATTAACAATTAAGCATTCCAGAAGTAACCAAAACAATTGAATTTTATGTTGCTTTCTCTCTTTCCTCCTTTTTCATGTGGTGTTAATACAGTATAAAATATTTGTAACTGTACTCTTGATTCCTGTTGTTTAAATACTAATGTAGATATTTATGGTGGAAATGAAATAAACTATGTAATGAGTGCCTTTTTAAACCATGTGGATGTGAATTGCTTTTTTTAAAAAAAGCATACTGCCTGACTAAGAAGAGCTGTTCAACAGTGGAACTCTGTCTCGGAGTCTGTTGGAATTGCCTTCCTTAGAGGTCTTTTAAGCAGAGACTGCATGGCCCTTTGTCAGGGGTGCTTTGATTGTGCTTTTCCTGCCTGGCAGAAGGGGGTTGGACTGGATGGCCCATGCATTCTCTTCCAACTCTAGGATTTATTTATTTATTTACCGTATTTCTATCTCGCCCTATCTCACCCCAAGCGGAGACTCAGAGCGGCTTACAGCTTGGCACAATTCGATGCCACATCGAAACATAAACATAACAGATTGTAAATACATTAAACATAAAAACATTAAACATAATAACATATAAATACAATTAAAACAGGATTTAAAACAGCAATTAAAACAACCACATAGTCCATAATTAGAGTTCATGAGCCATTCCAGTTGAAATCACATTGATTCCCAGCTGTCTATTGCATTGTAGCTAGTCTCTGAATGCCTTGTTACAAAACCAAGGTTTCACTTGTTTTCTGAATGCCAGGGGGAGGAGGCTGATCTCATATCACTGGAGAGGGAGTTCCACAGCCAAAGGGCCACCAGTGAGAAGGCCCTGTCCCTCACCCCTACCAGCTGCACCTGCAAAGAAGGTGGAACTGAGAGCAGAACCTCCCCAGAAGATCTTAATCTTCGAGATGGTTCATAGGAGGAGTTGCGTTCGGACAGATAATCTGGGGCACAACCGTTCAGGGCTTTATAGGCTAAAACCAGCACTTTGAATTGTGCTTAGAAGCAAATTGGCAGCCAGTGGAGGTGACGTAACAAGGGGGTTGTGTGCTCCCTGTACACCACTCCAGTTAGCAATCTGGCTGCTGCCCATTGGATTACTTAAAGCTTCCGAATGGTCTTCAAAGGCAACCCCACGTTGAGCCCATTACAGTAGTCTATACAAGATGTAACAAGAGGGTGGACCATCGTGGCCAAGTCTGGCTTCTCAAGGTTCAGGTGCAACTGGCTCACATGTTTTAATTGTGCAAAAGCTCCCCTGGCCACCGCTGAGACCTGGGGTTCCAGGCTCAGCGATGAGTCCAGGATCACTCCCAAGCTGCAAACCTGCGCCTACAGGGAGATTGTGACCCCATCCAGCACAAGCTGTAATTCTATATCCTGTTCGGCCTTTCCACTGACCAGGAGTACCTCTGTCTTGTCTGGATTCAACTTCCAATTTGTTCGCCTTCATCCAGACTGTCACATCTGTTCAGGACCTGGACAGCCTCCTTAGCAGTAGGTGGAAAGGAGTGATAGAGTTGGATATCATCTGCATATTGGTGGCATCAAACTTCAGAACTCTGGATGATCTCTCCCAGCGGCTTCATGTAGATGTTAAACAACATGGGGGACAGTACTATACCCTGCGGGACCCCACAGGACAAAGGCTGCGTGGACAAGTAGGTGTCCCCCAACAACTTCTGGCCCTGGAAGGACTGGAGGCACTGCAGGACAGTGTCTCCAAGTTCCATTCCCGCAAGGTGTCCCAGAAGGATACCGTGGTCTATGGTATCGAAGTCCACTGAGAGGTCCAAGAGAACCAACAAGGACACACTCCTCCTGTCCAGTTCCCTGTGTTGATCATCCACTAAAGAGACCAAGGCTGTCTCAATTCCATGACCCGATCTGAAGCCAGACGATGACGGATCTATATATAATACTAGCCATCTCCTGCCACACATTGCTGTGGCCCACATGCGGGTTCTTTGTGGGAGGTTTGGCCCAATTCTATCATCGGTGGGATTCAGAATGTTCTGTGATTGTAGGTGAACTATAAATCCCAGCAACTACAACTCCCAAATGTCAAGATTCTATTTTCCCCAAACTCCACCAGTGTTCACCTTTGGGCATATTGAGTATTCGTGTAGAGTTTGGTCCAGATCCATCATGGTTTGTGTCCACAGTGATCTCTAGATGTAGGTGAACTACAACTCCAAAACCAAAGGACACTGCCCACCAATGCCTTCCAGTATTTTCTGTTGTTCATGGGAGAACTGTGTGCCAAGTTTGGTTCAATTACATCGTTGGTGGGGTTCAGAATGCTCTTTGATTGTAGGTGAACTATAAATCCCAGCAACTACAACTCCCAAATGACAAAATCAATTTTTTGAGTGATGGACATACATTGGGTTGTTAGGTGTCTTGTGTCCAAATCTGGTGTGAATTCCCCCAGTGGTTTTTGAGTTCTGTTAATCCCACAAACGAACATTACATTTTTATTTATATAGATAGGCAGAGATACCAAAGTTCCTATTGGATTAATTGACCAAAGCTTCAGGAGCCCCTGATGGTGCAGTGGGTTAAAGTGCTGAGCTGCTGAACTTGCTGACCGAAAGGTCGCAGGTTCGAATCCAGGGAGGGGCATGACCTCCTGCTGTTAGCCCCAGCTTCTGCCAATTTAGCAGTTCGAAAACATGCAAATGTGAGTAGATCAATACATACCACTCCGGCGGAAAGGTAATGGCACTCCATGCAGTCATACCGGCCACATGACCTTGGAGGTGTCTATGGACAACGTCGGCTCTTCGGCCTAGAAATGGAGATGAGCACCAATGCCTAGAGTTGGACACGACTGGACCTAATGTCAGGGGAAAACCTTTAC